AAATTAAGAAATCTGGTTAAAAGATTTTTTTGATGTAGCTTTAAAGTTCCAAAAAAACAAAAGATACTGTTTGAGTAATTTGTAGATATTGTCTAAAGTTTTAATATTATTCCTGCTTTCAAGGTATTCAAAACGCTTTTACTTAACCGAAATCTTATTTGTTGTTGTTTATCTTTTTGATAGTAACATAGTCATAAAATACATAGTCTGGACAGTTTAAGAGCGCTACTGTTTAACTCATTGTAAACGTTTTATTTAAATCCCAGCCTACCAATGAGTGCACACTTTTTGTAAAAAAAAGGTGTATTAAGAAGAATATGTACAAGAAGATTGTTGATTTATCCTTAATTTTTGCAAATGCCTCGTCTTAATTGTTGCATATTTGGTTCTGTAACTTCTCGAAGAAGAATAAACGTTTTTCGATTTAAAATATCTTCTTCCATTGATGTTTACAACAAAGAATCAAGAAGAAAAGTCTTACAAATTATATCTAAAAATACATCTTTAGTTATAACATATTATAACTAGCCTTGTTCCTATTTACTTCATTTAAAAAAAAAAAATCAGACCAAAAGTTAAACTTAGGCTCATATATTTACTTTGCAAACATATAAAGGGATCAATGTCCACTGTCGGTTTAGTTATTAATATAGCTAAATACCTTTTGAAAATTAGTTTAAATTTGTTTTAAATTAATAACTATCATATGATTTAATTTAATTACTCTGGCCAACAACAACCCATAGAAAGAAGAAAGAGTTACCAATTTTTAAATGGTATTGGGTATAATGACAATGTTGCAATAAGGAACCAATGAACTTTCAAACTAATAACAAAAACTAATAATCTTGATAATAAAATCTCGAACAATAATCTAAAGTCTAAAAAGTGGCTTTTTTAATAGCCTAAAATCTCATAAAAACATGAATTGGTATAAAATTTAAGATATCATTTTTTTATCTTCAAAACAAAAATACCATAACTGTTTAATTACGAAAATCGCAAGATTTAATTGTTTACGTAAACCATATATATATATATATATATATATATATATATATATATACATACATATATATATATATATATATATATATATATATATATATATATATATATATATATATATATATATAAATATATATATATAAATATAAATATATATATATATATATTTATTTATTATATTTATTATATTTATTATTGCGATTATATCATACACTGTGCGTAATAAATGGATACTAAGGAAAACTTGAGTTTACTGGTAATTGGGGTATCAAAGGTGTATTGCCAATCTTTAAAAATTATTAAGGAGGCTAAAAAGTCACCTACAAGGTGAAGTTTTGTGAAGGAAAAGTGTTGCAAAAAAGTCTTAATAATATTTCAAATTTTTATAAATAAAATTCATAAAATTATTAAACTACTTAAATAGTTAAACCAATTGCTTTATTCATTACATTATATGATATATGTTATTTAATGTAAAAAATAACACAACTTTATTTGATTTTCACTTTATTATTACATCTTTCCATCATACTGCAATACAGTTTGAATGCTAAAATATGTTTTTAATAAACTTTTTAGCTATCAAAATAACCTTTATTAAAGTCTAACATTTATTCGGTGGAGTTTAAGGACCCTTTTTTGGTTTTTGTTCAGAAATTTCGCAAATTTGTTTAGAAAAAACTTCTTTTGTGAAAAAAATTTGTTCTTTTCAGTATAGAATTAATTTTATGCAAGTTTACAAGCTTCTTTGAAAAGGAAAATGGGCGAACACAAAAATAAAGTCGTAAAATATGGTCTAGAAGATTGATAAACACTTCTATAAACATCTTGGTCAAATCAAAATAACATTTTTTTAAAAATTAAGACGAAGCAATTCTGCCATCATTTGGCAACTTATTTTTACATAAACTTTTTGGTTGACTTTCTGAATGCTAACTCTGCTAGTAGTAAAAAAAGCATTAAATAATACTGACCAAAAATCATCAAAACCAAAGATCATCAAAACCAAAGATCATCAAGACCAAAGATCATCAAGACTTTTAAATTATTATATTTTTTTATTAGTATAACAATCACACTCTTCAAAAAAATATTTTATTAATTCTACAATTTTTCCAGCCAACAAATTTAAAAGTGTTTTTCAATTAAGTTAACTATGCCAACTTTTTGAATAAAGTATTTATTGATAAAAAGTACTAAATACGTATCCACCAGAATATTGAACTATTTTTTTTTTTTTTTTGTTTATTGTTTTCTGCCTTCTAAATACGATTAGCGAGGTTATATACTATAAGAGCATCTGTAAGAAAAATTCTTTTTTATCTGCAACTTTATAAATTTTGGATAAAAAACTTCAATTTCACTATAAATAATTTTTATAACTTCTTTGTATTAACTCAAAAAGTAGCTTCGTAACATCTTCTGAGAATATCTACTTATAAGCTCATCTCTGAGATTTTGATATTCTGAGAATATGTACTTTGATATTCTGAGAATATGTACAGAGCTCATCTGTGATATATGGAAGGCAGCAAAAATTGCTGCCTTTCATATATCAGAGATCGTTTCTACTCCCAAACGCCAGAAACGAAAACCTTTTTACCTGTTACTATTTTCAGTTTTAGTAACTAAAAACTTTCAAACCGATTATTAAAAGCAAGTGAATCAAACCAATCTAATTTAGCAGTTTGGATGAAACAATATTTTATTTTTTTTCCTCTCTATGCCCATGAACTCCATACCAGGGTGGTTATAACACAAAAAAAACGGTGGAAGAAATTCACCAGCTGCTCTATCACGCGTCAATAAAGAAGGGATTGACTTAAAAAAGTTACAAATTGGCTGATCTGCTGCAACTCTGCAGAAGTATTTACTTTTTGATATTTGATGTTTGCTATATTTATGCAAAATCTGATGATTTATCTATTTTGCAATATTTGATATTTGATGCATAATATTTTTTTAGTCTGGTTTATCAAACTAAAAAAGATTTTCTCTTATTATTGTGAGAAATATCATTTAAAAACTTTTTAAATTTTCTTTTTACTTTGTTTAAGTTAGAAACTCACTGTAAAACTCAAATCTTTTAGAGTCATCAGAAAACTAAAACCACTCACGGCTTTAAATGAAATACACGACTCTTTTTCATGTCTTGAAAATGTAGGCTGCTTACTTGTCCGATTAAATGTATTTGCTTTAGTTTTAAATTATTTTTTTTGGTATAATAAAATGTTAGGTAAATTATTAAATGCAGCTATACGTTGACTAAGCGCTCCTCTTTTTTACTAAATCCATGCATAATTGCATTGTGTCAGTTGAATAACTTTAGTAACAACGAGCTCCTATTTTTTCTTGTAACCCCTTACCATCCTTAAAAATACTTTGCACCTGTCAGCAAAATTTTAAACGATTAAATATAAAAAAATAATTGTCTTCATTAGAGATTTTGTCCAATCAATTTAATTTATGGTATAATGGACAAAAATATGTACAAAATTATCATTAAAAATGTTATGCTACCACGTGCATAGACAAAATGCCTCGAAGAAGAATATTTCAGCAGGACCATGACCTAAAGCACACTTCAACCTTTGTGAAAGACTTTTTTAAGACCAAAAAAGTTTGACTAATTAAATAGTCTTTGCAAAGTCATGACTTTAATCCTAATAAACAATTATAAAAACACCTTGATCGACAAATTTCAGGTCAAGTAAACATGATTTATTTAAAAATTTGAAACAAAAATGGGGAAAAATCGATAATAATGTGATTATTAATACAGCTTGTTGCTGTCAAGCAGTAATCAATGCTAAGGGTTTACCGACGAAGTATTAAAGAAAATTTACTTTAAATTACAACACTTTTAATATAATATACTTTTAAATGTTAAAAAAAAATCTACTTCAAGTATTTTTTTTCACGCGTATATTTCAATAAAACGAACTTTTAAGATTAGGTTGTTGGATTTATTAAAAACTCATTTGTTTTTATTGTTATTAATTTTATGACTTTTCACTGAAAATTTGAAAGAAATTAGATTTTTCATTCAAAAGTCTCAAGTTACGCGCTTGTCCGGTTACTTTTGCACGCTATTATAGTTCTCGTCTAGAAACACGCTTCTTTAAAAGAAGAAAAATTCGGTAAAAAATATTGCTTACTGAATATTAAAAAAAAAAGCAATTAAAATGGCAGCAAATTCAATCTGATAATTAAAAATAATGGCCCAAATAACTAAAAAAAAAAACAAATATGTCAAAAAAATAATATTCCTATTAGAGCCGGTCGATAAAAATTTTTTTTTCAAAATAGCCCCCGTAGGAGAAAGTTAGCAGCGGTTAATTGCATATAAATTATAAACATAGCCATTAAAATTTAAAACAAAATCATCATTGACTATCAATAACTTCAGTTTTTTATTCAATTAACTAAATTTATTGACAGGATCGCGACCCAAAAATATTAAAAATACATTAATTATGCAATTGTGTTTAAAATGATGAAGTAATTAGTTTTGTTATATTGCTTTTTGACCGCATCCATGGATCAAAAAATAGAAAAGAAAATTTTGTTATTTTAGTAATTAAAACTAAATAAATAGAATTAAGTAAAACTTCTTTTTTAGGTAATGTCAACTGTTTATAAAATTTATTGTTATTGTTAGTTGATTTTTTAATTTTTTGTATTTTAAATAGCAGACTTATTTAAGTATTTACTAATTAAATTATAAAAGTATGGAATGTTCACTAAACTAATTTGTGTACGTTATTAGATTTTTGCAATATTTTACAATGCAGCGTTCTTTTTCATTGAACTCAAGTTGAAAATTCAGAGCCTAATTACTCTGTCTGCTAAAATTTTAAAGTTATATATGACAATAGGAAAATCAAAATTGTTATTGAAAAAGTTCGCATTCTATTATGCAGGCGTTTGACTTTTGAGTATTTAAAAAAAATCTAAAATCAATATTCTAAAATAATAAAAAAATAAAATACTGCAGGTTTGGATATCAATGCTGTTTCCAGAGCAGTTTAACCAATGATTAGAATTGCAACTACGAGTCCTATTTAACACATTTGATGTAGTACATTTCGACCAACCGCTCCATGGTAACCAATAAACTGAAGTAATATATATATATATATATATATATACATATATATATATATATATATATATATATATATATATATATATACATATATATATATATATATATATATATATATATATATATATATATATATATATATATATATATATATATATATATATGTAATATCTATATATATATATATATATGTAATACCTATATATATATATATATGTAATATCTATATATATATATATATATGTAATACCTATATATATATATATATGTAATATCTATCTATCTATATATATATATATATATATATATATATATATATATATATATATATATATATATATATATATATATATATATATATATATATATGTAATATCTATATATATATATGTAATATCTATATATATATATATATATATATATATGTAATATCTGTATATATATATATATAAACATATTATTAAATATATATACAGTCTTGGACAAAAGTTTGGAAACGGTGCATAATTTTTTGATTTAAGATGTTTAATTAAAATTACTTTGGTATTTTAGCATAATAAATCTGTTGCTATGCTGCCATGTTGCTTGTGTAACAATTGTTGAATACGTGAAAAAAAAATTTTCACACGTAAAGGCCGTAATTGGTATAATTAAGCCAATTGCCTGCAAAATTATCTAAGGTAAGATTTCATTAGTTTGTGTCTTACTTAAATTTGTTGTAATTTCCATGATATTTACAAATAAATTTATCAAATAAGTAATATGTATGATAATAAAGAATGAATGTAATTTTCACACGTTGTTTTTTGCATTATTAAACAATATATTATTAGTTTCTACCTGTACTGTATACACACAGGTGTGAAATACAGGTGTAATAATAGAATTAATATACAAGCCTAATCTTTCAATATCTTTGTCATGTTATTAGTGTATTGTGATACATAATTTGTACATATTTTGATTTTTGTAGTTGTGACTGGATGGGTTGAACACCTGAACTATCAGCTACTAAAAGAGCCCAGGTAGAAATATTGAGATTGCAGCAGAAGAGTTTTCGAGAAATTGGAAAAATTTTAAAAATATCAGCGGGATCTGCATACAAAATACACAAGAGAATTAAGGAAACCAACGCATACTTATCACGATGTCGAACTGGCAGACCAAAAAAAACGACATCATACAATGATAGCCTTATTCGAAGGATTACGATAAACTCTCCACGCATAACATCAGCGGCAATTAGAAATAGGCTCCCGGAAAGTTGCAAAAATATGCGTACTAAAACTATTCGTCGAAGATTATTTGCGCATGGATTGAAAAGCTACAAACCAGCTAGAAAACCAAAATTATCAGCAAAGAGTATTAAAGATTGCTTAAAGTTTTGTAACAGGTACAAACACTGGCGTGAAGCTAATTGGGAACTGTCATTTTCAGCGACGAGTCAACCTTCACGCAGTTTGCTTGCGACGCTCATAGAATTTGGCGCTCACTTATGACAAGATATAACAACAAGTATGTCTTGCCAACAGTAAAACAACCAGAGAAACTGATGGAGTGGGGAGCTATATCAGCATTTGGTCGTGCAAGTTAATGGGACATGCCGGATGGATCTACTATTAATGGCAATAATTACTTAAACATTCTTACAAAAAAATAACAAATTTTATGGCAATACATGCTACAAATTTATTTCAGTTTGTTGGTGCTCCATGTCATGGCACAAAAAATTGGAAAAAAATTGGCTGACTTAGCCTGGTTTTGAGATTTATGGTCCATGGCCGGGCAACTCTCCGGACTTAAATCCGATAGAAAACGTATAGTGTACTATGAAAAAGAAAGTTTCAGAGAACAACTCCACATCACAAGCTGACCTTCTGGACAAAATGAAGCAAGCCTGGACAACAAAAATTAGTGCAGATTATTATTTTTGCCTTATTCATTCAATGTCGTATCGTATTGAAGCTGTGTTAAAAAGTCATGGTGGCCATACTTAATACTGAAAATATTGATTATGCTTTAACATGTTGGTATTATGAACTGTTTAAGTCTTCTATTGTTGGTGCTTTATTTGTAAAATCATTTTATTTCACTTTATTGAAGTTTTACCATAATGTTACTAATAAAACAATGATTTTTTGCTAATTTCTAGTGCGTTTCCAAACTTTTTTCCAAGACTTATATATATATATATATATATATATATATATATATATATATATATATATATATATATATATATATATATATATATATAAGATTATATATATAGGATTATATATATATATATATATATATATATATTATATATATATATATATATATATATATATATATATATATATATATATATATATATATATATAAGATTATATATATAGGATTATATATATATATATATATATATATATATATATATATATATATATATATATATATATATATATATATATATATATATATATATATTTAATTGTTGATAGGTATAGTACTTTGTTAAAAATACAGCTCTTGTCTGCTTAAGAGTGATTAATAACTCTTTGTAAAATAAATCGAATTATATTTATATAATTTAAATGAAAAATATACAACTTTTTATGGAATTATTAGTTTCATGCCATTCGCCAATAATTTAGCCATGTTATTCAAAATTTACAAAATGAAAATCCGTTGAAAAATACAATTTTTTAGCGTTGCAACGGTATCTGATGTCAAGTTTACGTCAAAAAATACCATGAGTTCCTAATCTGCGGTATCGAATTGTGAAAGCAGAAATTTTTTTCTATGTCTGCAAGAAGAAATCAACTCACTTTTTTTGTTAAGTAATGATCTTTGATCATAAGTCATAATTAAATGTTTTTCATAAATCCATCAACTAAAAGATTACATCTTTTAGTTGATGGATTATATGATTGACACTTTTTAATAATGTTCCACTTGATTAACGGCATAATACCAGCATTTTTATGTTTCTTTAGAAAGTTCTGTATCGTTATATTTCTTTAGAAAATTCTGTATCGTTTTCGTCTCTAGTAGCGTTAAATTGATGTTAGCTAAAGATATAGTGGCTTCATGCACGACCTTTTTAGATAAACATTGATTATTTAAAGGGCATGAAGGTTCATCAATACAGTTGCAGTTGGTGACACAAGCAGTGGGTTTGTTGCGTAATATTGTTTGGTTGTGTGAATTAACTATTGATCCAACACTCGGCATGCAGCTGTAACTAATTTTGATTGTATTTCTGTTAAATATCTTGTGGAACTTATGATGGAGAGGAAAATGCAAGTCAATTAACTTAAGAAAAAGGTGTCTTATTTTGGTGACAACGTTTTTGCTGAACGGAGTATTAACCATATGATGTTTCTCTTTCGCTTATTAGTAATTTTTGGGCCTACTTATGGATGGTATTGTATGTTGTTTCTAAATCCAGACTTTTTTATTGCATCTTTATAAATAGGGGCAGTATTATTAAAAATTGCTTTGCTGGAAGAATTGGTTGATAACCTACGCTCAATTGAAGTTGGTAACCGTTTTAAAATATTAGGTGGATGGTTGGAACTAGAATGGATGTAATTTAACGTACTATCAGGTTTGCGGTATGGTTGGAAACTACTGTTGTTAAGGTTCAATGTTACATCTTGATAATTAACAATTTTCATATTAGATTGGATAGAAATACTAAGGCTGTTTTGCTTAACTATTTGCGTGAAATGTTTCATAATTTTCTCAATTTTAGGACCGTCTGCATTTTTGAACACAGCTAAGCCATCATCTCTATACAACCCCAAATCATGCCAATTTATTATATTCTAATTTATTATATTCTTTTTTTGATATTTTGTATAAATTTCAGGTTTTATCAGTAAAAGTATAAGTATGCATTGATTTTCGAATAGAAGAAATATCATTTTTTTAATGTATTTTGAAAGCTGCATTGGACCATTCTAAACTGTATATTTTTAATTAATTTGAACAAATCGCTTTTAAACCCAGTCATACCTTTAATATAATGTGGACAATATGGAGTGGTAACACCGTAAAATTTAATTTTTTTTTTATATTTTTATTGGTATTATTCATACCGTTAGATTGTTTATTCATGTAGAAAAATGCTTTCCAACTCATTCTTTTAAATAGGATTTCAGTTTTTTCGAGCAATCGCAATTTGTAGTCTTTTTTTGATAGTATAGGGATATTTTTTATTGAATATATATATATATATATATATATATATATATATATATATATATATATATATATATATATATATATATATATATATATATATATATAGAGAGAGAGAGAGAGAGAGAGAGAGAGAGAGAGAGAGAAATTCGTACCTTTTTTATTAAGTATATTAAAAAACCGTTATAAATCAAAATAAAATCAGTCACGGTCGTGACAGCAACAAAAACACAAACAGAACCGTAAAATGAGGTGACTTTGGCCAATTTTAAAATCATTTTTCTTTCAAAATCTAATTTTGAATGATTAACCTGTTGATATAAGTTTTATTAAATGTGCATGATGCTAAAGAAATAAAATATAAAAATAAAATAAATAAAAGTATATTCTTATCCCATTTATTTTAATTTAAGGTGGGTCAAAGTCACCCTTATAGTGGTGGTGACTTTGGCTAAGATAATATCTCATAATTATTCATTAAGAAACTCATAACTATTGAATAATAAATCATATTTTACATATCATTGATATATGGATAATTAAGTATATGTCTTTGAGACAAAAAAAATGGTTAAAAAAATCTCGAGTTTGAAACATATTAGCACATTCATTCAACTCTATACTTTATACTATACATGTAGTCATATATACTAAGTTTCCGTGTTTATTAACAAATTATTTATATTTGTTTGTTGTTTAAAAGCGGATAGCTTTGATTTTTTTGCAGCAGGTATTTTTCCCTTGTTTGTGTTAGCTACTTGCATGTTAGCAACATCAATTGCTGATACACTTTTTCCTGGTATAACTGATACTTTTTGTTGC